TCCTACGTAGGCTTTAGGATCTCCAATCACAACAGCTATCCCTTCACACTGGCTTAAGGTGCGGCGAGTGCGACGGTTGAAACGTGGCTGTATGCCAACGGCTTCCATCCTCGGCTCATCGAGCACCTGCGAAAGAAGAGAGCTACTTTGAAGACCCACTAGTTCGGTGAGCCACGTCCAACGATCGGGATGCGGGCCCTTTCCTGCCAACAGCGCCGTGGCTAGACTTGTGAGGGGTACGTCTTGGCTAAGGTGCCCATTACACGCATAAGCCTTCACAGCGACCCCACTCAGCTTTTCTATCTTAGATATCATATCCAAGGCAAGCTTTGACGAAACCTCCGGGCAACCTGCCACCAGAACAACTGGCACCTTAGAGCCTTCTGGATCTCGCAACACAAAGCCTCCTGAGGTCCAACGAACCTGATACCCTAGGCTCACAAGCTGATGTAAAGCAACAATCGGAGCAGCTTTCTGCTGACTCAACGACGCTGGCTCTGCTAGCAGGACGCCTGTGCTGGCGATCCGAAGATTGTTTGTTTCCCCTGAAGCTAAATGCACTACCACTGGGGCGGCAGCTTCCCATTCTTGCAGACTAATGGCTTGTCGAAGTGAGGTTGTGGCACCACCGTCCAACAAACCCAAAACGGCGTCTCTAGATTCTTCGGCTTTAACAGCACACAGCTTGGATATCCTCAAAGACTTAATGGCATCAATGGCTTCCTTCACCAAATCATTTGAGGGCCCTGTCGCTGCAGCTGGTGCGCCCTCAGACTGCGAGGCCTGAGCTTCCGAACCCTCAGGAACCTCAACTCCACCAACCTTGCGAACTCTCTTCCGGGGACCCCGCTTAGGTTCAGCCTTAGCTGAGGCCTCTACACCCGCCTTATGGTCAGCGCTGCCAGCGGCAGTGGGTGGGCCTCTCCCTAGCACTGGGCACGCATTCCTCCAGTGCTCAGTGGATGAACACTCAAAGCACCTACCACTACCATCCTCAACAACACTAAGATCGTGATTGTATTGGCATGACCGTCCGGCGTTACACCCCTTTGCGGAACCCCAAAACTGACAGACTCGGCGATTGCTTTCAGGCTGGGCATCAGAAGGCTTGCCTTTAAGTCCTTTACCTTTACCTGCATCCTTGCCTCCTGTATTGTTCGCGCCCTTTCCTTTCCTGTGTTCTGGCTTCTCCTCCTTTCCTTCCTCCTCAGTGGCCTTGGCTCTCCTTACCCGCTGTCTCTTCTCTTCCTGAGAGAGCGCCTGAGCGCTCACCGCGAGCAGCTCCATCTCGGCATGAACCTGCCTCCTGAACTTTTCAACCTTCTCATGTGTTGGCACGTGATCTAAAGAGAGCTCAAGCTTCAGCACACTAAGCCTGAAAGCCAACTCCCTATAAGTGCTCGAACTCACGATTCCAGACACGATGCTCTCAACAGCCCTGAGCAGGAGTGAAGGATCGGGGAGGGAAACCTTGAGCTGCTCCGCACGCGATCTCCATCTTGAGTACTTCCTCAATTTCTCCAATGCTTCCGCCGGGTTCTGTGCAGTCCCTGGCTGAGTCAAGAAGTTCAACAGTGTCGCGCGCTCAGCAGTTCCTCCTGGCTGCCCTGCAACCATCACCCTATACAAAACATTCACCGAATTGAGAACCCTAGAAGCTAGGATGTCCTGTCTCAAGTTCTGTGGAAGCGAGGCCAACAGCATCGATGTTACTCGTTGCTCAAGCCGGGCATACTGCGGCTGGGAAAGCTCAGATCCTAAGGTTACTTCAATTTGTGCTCGGTGTAGCGGGGTAGCATTAAGCCACTGTGCATAGAAAGCTTCAGCCCTATCCTTAACCTTGACCCACCAAAGACCCGCTCCAGTACTAATGTCCCCAACTATAGGACCCACTAATGTTATCCAATCGCCCACTGCAATCGGTGCCTCATCAGTTCTCAGCTCCGAGAGCTGTGGAAGATCATGCCAGCGCTGCCATTGAGGCGAGTACCGAAGCTCCTGACGGCGGATTTCAGACGTTGGAGTTGGGGTTAAAGGTGGAGGCAACGGAGGCACCGGAGTACCACCTGGCGTGCGATCTACCCTAAACCCTATCTCTTGTCTCACCCCAAAGTCAGGTCCTAAACCACTAGGAGGCGGGGGTGGTACCGGGCTTGAGGAGGTATTAGGCACAACCGACTGCTCATCATGATGACGCGGGAAGGCTGTCTGATGTGACACCAGATAATTCGAATCCCTATCATAGCCCTGAGTGCTATACAATCCTGGAACCGACTGCTCAACAGGATACTGCGGATAAGGCATCGAAGGTACCTGGGGCAGAAATGAACCACCCGAACCAATGCCAAAACCCTGAGTGCATTGCATTCCTGGAAACGACTGCTCAACAGGATGGGGCGTAGGGATCGGAGCTACGTGGTGGAGTGGAGGACCAACTAACCCACTATAACCCTGAGTGCATTGCATTGCTGGAGCCGCTTGCTCAACATGATGTGACATCGAAGCTGGTCGGTACTGCGGAGGGCCACCTAAGCCTACAAACTCAACTAAACCCTTAGGCAACCCACTAAGGTCTTCAGGAATCTGCGGCGGCGTAAAGAAGCCTGATCCTCCTTGTACCGGCTCCGGCACACTCTGCTGCACTTGGTGAAGCTGCTGTGCGGGGCAAGTCCAACCGTGCCCTTCAACAGGAAGCGCTGGCCCCCGAATCCAGGAAGGCCCTGGGAGACTTGCCGAAGATTGAGGTGCTTGGGGCTGAACAGGAGGAGGAGGTGGTTGATTTAGCACGCTAGGAAGTAAAGTCCAAACTCCCTGTGCATTGAGGGCAAGCTGCCGGTAACCACCATCAACATACACCCATTTTCCAAGACCACCCACACTATTATCATTGTGTTCATTACTCACACTTGTTAACCCTGGGGGATCGCAGAAACTTGTCTGTACAACGGACGGGTTTCCATCCACATTTTCAGCATCTACTCCTACAGCTCTACCAGCACCACCTACCGCCGACTTCATCGACACTGAGGTTCCCGTATTCTGACCAGCAGCGGACTTCATTGACACCGAAGCTCCTGAGTTTCTTTCCGCCACTAGCGCATCTTCAAGGTCCTTGACCCGTTGCAGGAGCGCTGCAACGGTAGCCTGGCTAGGGTCCCTGACGTCAGAAGCTCTGCCTGCAGTAGAAGCTCTTTGCGAGAACATCTCCCCATCCAAACTCCTAACCTTTGTAGACTCCTGCTCGCGAAACGGAGTGTCACCCCCATCCGAACCAATCATGAAGTACTGAGCTCCTTGATGGTCCGGCTGTGTTGGTCCCGTCGGGGATTCCGTCACCTGAAGGGCATAGCTCCTGACTTCCACTTTCGTAGTCGTCTCACCACGCTCCAGGATCGACGCCTTGCCACTGGATCCCGGAGAGCTCGCTCCGAGACCCCGGTGCAAGAGTCTTGACTCACTTCTATCATCAAGTTTCCCAGCATTTTGCCCAGAAGATGCCATGGCTGGCTCAGAGAAGTCATACGGTGGATGCACGTCCACATCATCATCTCTCTCAGTAGTGCTAGGTAAGTCGCGCGGTCGGGACTGGTTCAACTGAAATTCTGCTGTAGCCTTTTCAGACCAAAAAGGATTTGGTAGAGGCTTCGAAGAGGCTGGGGCCTCACCATCAATCCCAGTCTGACTGTTGGCTGCTCCCGCTGCATCTTGGTCCTCGTACGAAGGCTCAAGCTCATCTCCTGATTCAAGTGGGACAGGTGTGTCAGCTGCCGTAGCACCGCCACTAAGCCCACCAGGAGGCACAGAGCTCGACTTTCTCCTTCTAGAAGCAAGAGTGTCCATGGCAACAGGGCACACGAAGGCTTGGGCTCATAACCCTCGAGTACGAGGGCCAGCCAACTGTTTTAGCAGCAGAAGCGAAAGCGAATAAGATCTAACTTGGTACACTTCTCGATTTAAAAAACGTCTTCTGTACGTGCCTGACTGTCTTCCTTGCTGCAGGGGCCATGCACCTGCGGAGTCAAGCGTGTCATCCTTGCAGCAGGGGCAGGGACATACACATCTGCGTAGGGTTTTGGGGTTGAGGGTCGTTTCGGGTTTAGGGGTTTAGGGTTTGGGGTTGAGGGTCGTTTACGCTTTAGGGTTTTGGTGTTTAGGGTTTGGGGTTGAGGGTCGTTTAGGGTTTAGAGTTTAGGGGTTTAGGGTTTATGGGTTTAGGGGTTTAGGGTCCCCTGTAATGCTACTTGGGTGAGCCGTGTGATCCGCCACAGGCGGCCTACACGAAACAGCATTCAGGCTGAAAGAGCCGCGGAGCCAAAGCTACCAAAGTCCGCATCCCTGAAGCCTAAATCCTCAGGCCCTGGTTTAGGGTTTAGGGTTTAGGGTTTAGGGTTTAGGGTTTAGGGTTTAGGGTTTAGGGTTTAGGGTTTAGGGTTTAGGGGTCCAGGTCCAGGACATCCGCGATTGAAGCCGACAGGAACTTGATAGATAAGTGGCATGGGGTTTACAAATACTACGGTTCCGTTATAATGCCTACGAAACCCTAAACCAAATCCCCAACTTGAACATCTGACAAACCCCATGTAGAACCCTGTGAAACTTGTACGAAACTCAACGAAGGCTGAAAACGTCCCATTATAAAGCAAAAACCACCTCTCTCTGGCCTCCCACTTTTCATTGGTTGACATTTTAAGAAGGCCGAGCAGTTCAGTTCGCGCCGGTTCTAGCCCAGGAAATCTTCGTTATACTCGGGGTGACAAAATGCCAGGGCAAAGGGTTGAGGGTGTGAAGCACTGTTACCACTGCTATAGGGGCCGTAATATCTACCTACACTACTGTGGGGTTCCTTGTTACAATTATAGTATAACGGGCCCCCATATCTCATTCTAATTATTAAGGCCCCCGTATTACAACTGGACCCTACTTAACCTGACCTCCCTAAACCCCAAACGCATACCCAGGACCGGCACACAAACCCGGAACCTGAAGTGCAGCTGAGCTGCGGCGGTCATGGTTCGCTCCAGGAGGTGTCTGGAAGAGCCCTTAGGGGCTTCAGGGTTTTGAAGGCGCTTGGTGTATTTTGTGTTAGTGTGGTTGTGTGTGGGATTGGCGGGGAAAGGGGGGCTCCTTAGAAGTGCTAGAGATTGCTACGGTCTTGCGGGCGTGCGTGGCGTGTTGGAGGCTGGAGGAAGGCTGACCTTGGTTCAGACTTGGAAGGCCACCTGAAACAGCCTGGGCATCCTGAAACATGACTGGTGCAGTATTGGTTCGGTTTTTCATGTGTGGGTGTAGGATCCGCATGGGAGGATTCTACTACATGTCTGCGGACGTCAGTCTTTAACTGGTGTGCGCTCTTGCTCAGCAACCGAAATCCTACGCTCCTGGACGATATAAGTCTGTATGCACTATCACCCGAATCCTACAAGCCCGCAATGTAACCACAACAAAAGCGAAAACACAAAAACCTACATGCTGGGTCGTTAGGCTCTCCAGAACTGTGGCCCAAAAGCCGATGGTCACGATGCGAAGTAGGATCGTTAGTTACGGATTTCACTTGAGAGATTTGCAGCTTTGGGGGTTGAAGGCTTTAAGGTTTCGGTCTGATGGTGGCAAGGATGCAGTCCCACTTAAACTAACCAAAATCCTCAGTAGGCTCCCTGCTCAATGGATCAAAAGCAGGCAGCCTCGTGAGCATCGTTGCGAGACGTCTTGCCGGCGATGCTCGCAAGAATATGATGATGCTTGAACGAAATGCCCTCAACCCCCAAAAACCAGCATCGATAATTGCGCAGCTCTCGTTCGCGAGGGTTTAGGACATCTGACAACCTCATGCAGTGACCTCCTCTGTGCTTTTTATGGCGATCTGAACGATACACTTATTGCTAATTGCTCGGCACCCAATATCTATACCATTGAGTTGGGTTCGTTTATTTCCACGATCTGGGCGGCCTGGTGGTCTGTAACGTAGGGGCCTGAAGACTCATATAGCTCAAAGGGGAAGAGGAGGGACCCTTAAAGGGGACCCCTTACCTTATAGTGGGCTGTATAATGGGTATATAATGGCTGCAATGGCTATATTAAGGGTATATACTTACGGGTCCTTATTAAGGGTCCCTCCTTCTACCCTTGGAACAAGTAGCTTCTTTCCGTAACCCTAAGCCCTAAATGTGGACTAAAGCCTCAATTCCCACCAAGCCACCCGGATGTTGCAGTCGAACTTCGACAACCCAAAATCCTTGGGCAAAGTCTCGACTTTCGAGCGCCCTATATCAGGGATTTCCAGGGTTCGGGAGATAGGGTCGGTTTCGGGGGATCGGATTGAAGCTCTGGGCGAGGATCCCAGAAAGGCCCGGCTAAATCTACAACGCGAGGCGCCAACCCCCATAAGCCTCATGGCAACATCCATCAGACACTTTGGAACCCATCGTCAAGAACAGCAGGAGTGCGAATGCATATTGAAACCCAGAGACTCTACATCCTGGAACATGGAAAAAGAGGATTACGGGCATTGACTAAGTACCCAGGAACTCGTTGTCCGAACAGGTTTGGGGTTCAGGGCTTATGGGTAGCATGATGAGGGAGACCCATTAAAGAGCACCCCTTCCGAACCCTACTTCTGGCTCTCTTAAACGGGACCTTGTTGAGAGGATCTATATCCCCGAGGGTCCCCCTAATCCTAACTCCCAGTTTACTAGTTGCTAGCTGCCGTTGCTACATCGCGACTGTCAACTTGCAACTTCATGACCCTCACAGGTGAGTCATGCTACTCTTCTTCCTCGCTGCCTAGACCCTAAACCCCTAAACCCTCATGTATGTATATATATATATATATATATATATATATACATATATATATATATATATATGCTTTTATACGAGTGTGTCACATACTATAAATATACGCATCATTACATTACAGAGATACAACTAGATATATGGTTATATAGGTATGTATGTATGTATGTACGTATGTATGTATGTATGTGTGTACACGCATGCCCGCATTGCATCCATCTATCCACCTATCCATTCATTCATTCACCCATCCCTTCATTCATGCACACGGAAACGAAGAGCCTCTGTCTGCCAACGATTCCGGGAAGCTATGCCCCAAGCGACATCCCACGACACGTTTGCAGTCTGTAGGCGTCGGCTGTGGACTTTGAGGATATGTAGCAATTCAGTTTGAATAAGGTCTTTCTACAGTTTCAACATAGGTGCCAGAGCGCACTTGCATCTTTTGCTCCGTTTCCCAAGGCCGCCGCCCTCGCAACAACCCGAATATTCACCACCCAAGCCCTGAAACTCTCATATACTGAGCAGGATGAGGAATCTTCCTCAAAGAACCTCAGAGCTTAGGGCCCTAACCCCTGAACTGCATCCTGGGCACTGCTATCTTCACATTGTGTATATCGCACTTGTGCAAGTCGGAGTAGCCTGGCGGATCGTGATGGCTGCATACTCTAAAGCTTGACCCGAAACACTAGACTCTAATCCCCATACGCTCTAAATCATAAACCCTAGTTATAGGCCCCAAAACCTATGAGCCCCAAAGCTTAGAGGAAGGGCCTGTGAGACCTGGCTACAGGGCCAAGACCTGGGGCCAAGTGCCGACCTAGACCGTTTAGGGTCCAGGGTTCAGGGTCTCTCCATCTACCTCTTCTTGCCATCCCGAATCCCGAACTACCTCTTCACGGGGATTTTTAAAGGGTGCTCGTCGGGTCCTGGTTGGGTCGAAGGGTTCAGACTTAAAACTTCTGGTTTTACACTTCCCGATGTGGGTCACCCTACACTCACATTACGGACAGCCACACAGAGCTAAGGCCAGTTAAACTCAGAAGCACCGCATCTCAAAACGTCATTCCAAACCACGAGCCAAGGACCCCCAAATCCTAGCATTGGGGTTTGATTTTAGGGCCTCGGCTTGAGGATTCAGAGCCGTCAGCGCGGCTGCAACAACTCAACCTTCAACCCTAAATCCTGAACCCTGAACCCTAAACCCCAAACCCTGAACCCTAAACCCTAAACCCTAAACCCTGAACCCTGAACCCTGAAGCCTAAACACTTCAACCCTAAGCCAAGACCACACGCAGCAGCCTTAAATCCTACGCACAGTTGAACACGCAGTCGGAGCTAAGCACCTCTTACGAACTGTAGGGTTTATGGGTTACGGACTTAAATGTGGGGACTGTAGGAACGTTAGCAAACCTATCGAATAGAAAGGATAAACTTGAGGCTTAAAGCCTTTAAGGAGTTCTACATGGGTACATGGGCCCTCTCAAGACCACATACTAAACCCCACGAAGCCATAGTGACACCCGAAGAGCAACGTGATAGGAACCCTTCAAGGTATCCTTGACAGCGCCACGTTTAGTGAGAGCTCTACCCATCTCACCTCACATAATCGAAACCAAGATCAAATCCAAGGTGCGAGTTTGGGGTCTGCGGTGTAAGGATTAGGAGAGCTGTATAATGGTCCTGCATGTGGGATCGACCAAGGGTCATACAACGATTTCATTCGGGGTCTAGCAGGGTTTCTAACCAGGTCCTCGTAAGGCTCAACACAGGTTTATAAGGTAGTTGTTCCCCCCCCCCCCCCGCCAAAGGCAACAACGAACCATGACCGCCGTGTTTAGCCCGAGGGGCTCGAGCCACTGAGGAGGATGTTCTCCAGTTTGAGGTCGCGGTGCAGGACGCGATGCCTAAGAGGCTTCTCTGGTAGACTACGATTTGGGAGTTTCCGAAAATACGGGTACCTTATGTTTGGGGTCCTCCTAACAAGGATCTTACTATTTAGGGTACTATATTAGGGTCCCCTATTTTCGGAAACTCCGATTTGGTTCATGGCTCAAGAGAAACAGCGTTCAGCTTTCAGGGTTCGGGGGGGGGGGGGGGTTCGGGCTTACGGGAAAAGCTTGCCAGCACTGGCTCCGACACGGATGTCCGATAATTCTGAAGACCCCGAAACAATCCCAAACGCATGACACATAAGATCCGGAAAATCACGCACGGACACGCAAGAAAACAACCCCCCGAGCCACCTGAACGAATCAACTAGTTACAGGCAATTAATTACTTGTCGGCACGGTGAGATCAACTATCAGCACGACCGAGGACCATCAATCAACAAAAATATTTGAGTATCCGTTTCCAATCTTTGCCACGCAGCGCTTGCATGTAGCCGATGCCTTCGAGCCTGAGAAGTGCACGATCGGGCGCATAGTGGCGCATTTGGCCAAGAGGAGATCGAGTTGCAGGTGCTGTTCAAGGCCAAAGGATCAAAATCAAAAGGCTCCGCTGCAACATGCCATGACCATGATCGCCCTAGGTGACGAAGCCGAATGATGCCTAAACCAACAGCAACAACGGGAGGACGGGTTGACTAGTATGCTCGTACACACACAGACACAGACACAGACACAGACACAGACACAGACATAGACACAGACACAGACACAGACACAGACACAGACAGACAGACAGACAGACAGACACAAAGGGCCACCACCAATGTTCCCGGGGATATTCCGGCGATCGCATCGGTGCGTCCCCCCCCCCTGTGGATTTTGCTCGGACCAACATGTCGCCCGATAAGGTTTAAAGGAAACTCCAGAAAGTTGGAATATGGTTTCAGGGTAGGATACCTTATAATTTACCATAAAGGCTTAGGATAATCATATTCCAACTTTCTGGCTTTTACTTTAGGGTTCAGGACTTTCAGGGCTTGGGGCTGAAGGCTCTTGGACTGAGGGTTTGGCTCCGAAATCCAGCACCACACCGATGTGATGAAGCAGCAACACCCTAACCCTAAACCTTATAACACCCTAACCCTAAACCTTACAAGCCCTAAACCCCAGCCGCAAAAAACAAAACATGAATCAACCGTCTTGCCAGAAGACCAGGAAAGTGACTCGACGGACGTGGCTTGCTGCAACCCAGACCCACGCAGCTGACACAACCAAGTATGGATCTGAGGGTATTTCGGATGAAGGCTTTAGGGTCTAGGGCTTAGAGTATTTTGGGGCACAGGTATTCGGGTTAAGGGCATGAGGGGAAATATGCTACCAGTATTAGGGTACTATGTATGGGCCCAAATCATAAGAACTGGTTTTCCAAAGGGTTGAAAGAAACGCCTGAATATTGAGGAAGCGTGGTTGGGTGTACACGACTGGAGAATTATTACTTGTTGCTGTATATTGTCTATGGACGCTTATATATACTGAAAGACCCACAAAGAGGACGTGATTATTGTTACGTCGGAGCACCAAGAACCAACGAGACAAAAACACCTGATACGGACTGCGAAACGCCCATGTAATGACACGGTGACAGCCCGCAAAAAAAAACAAAAACAACAATGACACGGGCAATACGTGCCTTAATGATTAGAAGAGGGTTTGGGACCCATTGTAATTCTTAGAAATATCAATAAAGGAACGACCCCCCTCCCCCCAAGATTTTAGGTAATAATTTAGGCCCCTATATTCACGAGTGGGCAACAGCCAGGCCTTGGCGTTCCGGGGTTCATTGGCCCTCGTTCTCTACCGGTACGATGTCATGAAACCCCACGGTTTAGGGTTTTGGGTGCCGGTGGGTGGCGCTCAGCAAAACAAAAATCCATAGCCAGCTTTGTCTGCACATGGAAACAAACATTCATATAGTTGTTAGCTCACATATACATTATGCATCATGTCTGACTATAACATGCACGCACCCATCCGTGTGTGTGTGTGTGTGTCGCACCACCTATGTCGATGACACCTCCGACACCTCCCACGAGCACCATCGCAATCCCAAGCGGAGTACAGGCAAGAGGCAGCTGGTTAGCGACATACTGCGAGGAAAACTCCGCACCACCTCGGCAGCGTTGTGCCATTGGGAACTGTGTGTATGAAGTGTGCTAGCTACGTAGTAGCAACAACAGTACTGACTTTGCGATTGTTTTGCTAGTCTCACTCGTATACCTATGATTGTTTTATAGGGCTGCAGATTTATGTAGGACTTGACGGTGTGGAGTCGCATCACCTGTACCATTCAGAATTTAAGGTTTAGATGCAAGGTACATTCGGGTCAGCAGAAAGCCCTCATGAGTGCAATCATTGACTGTTGCAGCTGGCGCCGAGCGCATCCAAACCCTTAACAACTGCCACGGTCTATGCGCAGACCAGCACCACCACCACCACCACCACCACCACCACCACAACCATTGTTACCTTAAGCGCTAAGGAACTACTATGCGTTGCAGAAGAAGGTGCCGAGCCCGGGGAAGGGATTGCCCATCGACATGATGTCCTGCTCCAACCTTTGGCTGGGCTTCGGAATTAAGCCGAATATAGGGGCCTGCATAATTACGTCTATGGAATCGTCCACCTAAGGTGGAACGCTGAGCCCCAAATACCCGAAATCCTGAACCCTAAGCCCTGGGGCGCTTGAGCGTGGCTCTGGCTCAGGAGGTTTGGGGCTCGGGGTTCGAAGTTGGTGTTCAGGTTTAGGGTTTAGGGTTTAGGGTTGAGGGATAAGGCTTCTAAGCCTGTTGACGCTCTAGCTATACAGTAGCCCTGGAAAGAAAGCCTGATTCAAGACGCTCTACAACACCTTCAAAATCCGATGGGCGAAGCCCACTGCACTGCCCTGTAGATTTTACGCTTGAGGATCGGGGCTTCGGGAGTAAAGTTAATTTTACCCGCGGCCCAAGGACCGACCTTCTTCAGGAACTATATATAGAAACTGAATCATAGCCAGGAGCCCTAAAAAGGCAGGTCTTTTCGGCTGCGGGTAGGGTTTAGGGATTAGACTTCGGGGTTTAGGGTTCTATCGTAAGCAAGCTACGAATTACTCGAACAGGAGACTCGAAGAAGAGTCCTTGCTAGGTACTGTCTGCAAGGGCCCTCATGGTCTGAAACTTTCGGAAGTCTTCTTTCGGGTTCAGCGCTTCAGGGTTTTAGGCATATGTGTTTGGGGTTTAGGGACGGTTTAGGGATGTTTAGGGTTTAGGGGTTTTGAGTTAGGGCTTAGGATACCGTCGAGCAAGGAGCTTATCGAAGAGGTTGCCACCTGCAGCAAGGTCCATCACGATGAGACACTGATCTTCTCTCCAGAACGCCTCGTGTAAGTTCACCTCGGATGACAGGTCGATGCCCCACAGAAGCCCAATACTCTTGAAGTAAGAAACGTGCCTGAAACTGCATTGGGTTCGTAGTACAATGTAAGGCATATTGTATATTCTTCTTCAAAGAGTTAAGCTCTCTGCAACTTTGGGTTGGATTTTGGAGTCGTCCATAAGCCTGGAACACCAAACACCACGTCCCCAAAATTTGCGAAAGGGGATTGGCAAACCCAAAACAAAGCTACGGCAGGCGCCTCTCCGCCAACTCATCTGCGGATTGCTCTGCAAGTTCCCTCCAGCTCTAAATCCTAAACCCTAAAACGCCACAAAGCCGTCACCAAGAACCTTTGAATGCAGGCTCGGTTTTGATCGGAAAATGCAGATGGCTTTAAGGGTCTGGGAACACAGATATAAGACTTACGGTTCGTCTGAAAACGCTAAACTCTACACTACTAAGAAGTCCCAAGCCCCCGAGCACTAAACCGAAAACTCGAGTTGCATAAAATTGGAGCAGCACGACATACAGGGTTAGGAATGTGGCTTCCCACCGGAAACAGTAAACGCGTGACTGAGCCCCAAACTCTGTTTAACAATCTCAGCTTGAGCGTTTCGACCAGGAAGACCAAGTACAAACACAGTCCCGCATTTCGGACTTGTATTGCGGCTTCGCGGTTGAGGCTGCAACGTCCCGTCCTAGACAAACCTGCAGATTCCCGCGCTAGAAAATTCCTTACGATTTCATTCAGACATTGCAGAAGAGGGAAATCCCAAACCAACCCGGATATGAGACGGTTCTGAATAACCCTTGAACACAAACCACAAAAGCCTTATGAAACCCAAGTTTTTGAACAGTCCTATCCAGTGCTGTTCGGTGCAGTTCAACCCTCCGTGCAGCCGCAGCGGCGATGAAAGGATGATGAAGCTCCCGCATGACCTGAGCGTTTCCGTTGGGTTTAGGGGTTTTTTAAGCTTGCAGCCTACAGTCTCTCAAACCCACACCAAACCTTATAAACCCTTAGCAGCCCTAAACGCTGAGCTCCTGCCACCACTGTCTAGTTAACTTACGTAAACCGCACCCATAAATCATTAAATCCCTAAGCCCTTCCACTGACTCATTCCCTAACCGAAGCTAACTGCTACTCATCATCTCTGAGCCAGTGAAACCTTAGATCCGCTCGTAATGCATCCTAAACCCTTAACCTGTAGATGCTTGAACCCTTTCCACGGGAACCACCCACATCGGAGATCAAGCGAAAGAGAGATTCAGGAAAACTCATTCAACAATACTACTACTTATAATAGTAACACTAACAATAAGTACCTATAATGTTTGTATAACCCTGGGCATCAAAATAGCCCAAAAGCCTGATATAATATGGTCTTTGGGCCCAAAAGCCTTAATATATGAGTCCTTAGATGCTTAGGGTAAGCGACAATGTCAAAACATCCTCCTTGTCAGGGAACCCGGATCTCGCGGCGCAGTGCGGCCAACTGCCGCTCCGACCGATCAAGAGCCGAGGTGCTAATGACCTGGAGAACATTTCAGGGTGTGGGTTTAGGGGATTCTGATCTCAACCTGAGTCTCAACCCCTTAACCCTAAACCCCCAAAACCCTCATAGAGTTCAGGCTCGAAGGGCTTCGGAAAAGAGAAACCCAATAGTATCTAGCGCTGATATAACTGAGGGACCGGGGAAGCCACGAGCTTAGAGTCACAGTCCAGTATCGTATAGTTGATAAGGAGCCCGAAGAAACACTGCTGCTAATCAATACTGATGCATCCCATTGTAACAATAATAAGACTTATTACGATGATACCCCCCCCAACACCCCATGTGATTCTGAATACTGTCCTCTTATTGCCCCCCCTGCAAAATGGGAGTTTCCGAAAATAGGGGACCCTAATATAGTACCGAAAAAAAAGAATCCCAGAAAATGTACCCCTAATAGTCGGAAACTCCCAAATAATCAGATAACATACCCCGACAGCTTCGGAAGCTTCGGAGGAGGGCTAACGACCCGGGTCTTCCTGGTTGGCCTTCGGGGCTCGAGGCTTCGGTGGATGAGACGAGTTCCAAAGGTCTTAGTACATAGGAGCTCTAAAGGTTAGGAATAGGTTTTGGGGGTATAGTATACCATAATTGATAAGAAGACGTACTAAGGAACCGCAACTGCAACTATTGAGAAACCTACATGAAGCTGCTGGTCTGGCTTCGGTCTTTGAGAAAAACTCAGAAGTAGTACTTCTAATACGTCATGAATGATGTCTGCTTCTTGTGTGGCTGTCTCTTGCCATTCCTCTACTAGCGGCATGGAGACTGGCAGGAATTCCAAAAAAAACTTTGTTCATGCTGAGGCTGGGATTGGAACGGGAGGAACTGTGTGCTCCGGGTTTTTGTAGTAGTGATTCTGCTACATGTCCAACAACACGCGTTGCATTTTCAAAATACACGGCTTACCAGCAGATTTCCGTGGCATCAACAGTCGTCATTGTCTTCTTTAAGCCCTTGTCGTTGTTGTCCTGTTCGCCGTCGTCGTCGTCGCGTAGTGGTGGTAGTAGTAGTAGTCGTCGTCGTAGTAGTAGTAGAATAGTAGCAGGAGAATCTTAGCAGCAGGAGGAGGAGCAGTAGTAAAAGTAGTAGTAGTAGTAGTAGTAGTAGTAGTAGTAGTAGTAGTAGTAGTAGTAGTAGTAGTAGTAGTAGTAGTAGTAGTTAGTAGTAGTAGTAGTAGTAGTAGTAGTAGTAGTAGTAGTAGTAGTAGTAGTAGTAGTAGTAGTAGTAGTAGTAGTAGTAGTAGTAGTAGTAGTAGTAGTAGTAGTAGTAGTAGTAGTGGTAGTAGTAGTAGTAGTAGTAGTAGTAGTAGTAGTAGTAGTAGTAGTCATGATAATCATCATCGAGGTCGACGTAGAGGTAGTGATAGTGTAGTGGCAGTCGTATCGGCAAGGGTAATGGTGATATGGTAGTTTGTCGCGGAGGTGTCAGTGGAAAGGGCAGCGAGTGGTAGTGGTAGCGGTAGTGGCCGTAATAGCAGCCGTAGTGGTAGTGGCAGTAGAAGTAGTAGCAGCAATACTACGTAGTCGAATTTATCGTCGTGGCTGTGGTCGGTAAGAGTCGGTCTGAACTAAAAAAATGCAGACAGCACAATTTTGTTTCGTTGGAGCGGTCGGTGTGCATAGCAGTCCCTGCATTAACAGTCCAGGTGATCAACACAGCAGTGCCTTTTCTTCGTGTTGTTTTTGTGTTGCTGCCGCCGTTGGAGTACATAGCACTAACAATCCAGGAAGTCTGAAGAACAAACGATGCCACCTTGGAAGGCGTTGGCCCTAAGACCTAGTTACCAAGCCGTTGCACTCTGACGCCTTCACTGCGTAGTCGTGCTGCGTACTGAGCCGCTTGCACCTGGCAGCTCCACAGTTCGACAAGCTCAGCAGCTCTGGGCCTAGATGGCTCAATGAGCATGATGACCCGACTTGCTGCGAGACTGTGGTATGAGTCGCAAGCAGCGCGACATCGATGCAGAACTCTGGTTCCTCTGAGACTTGCACAGCAACATGCGCCACTACGAAACAAACTCGAAGAAAAGCAACAGCGACAATCAAACCGATGATTTTGGCATACCTGCTTCACTGAACACTTTCAAGGCCTGACTTACCTGCTGAAGCTACCGAACATTCTACCTGACAGCATCATCTTATAAATGTGCACACATTCGAAGCTCAAGACCGTCACAACCACGACCACGACAAAGGGATCCGTACAGTAGCGACCACTCAGCGACAATGCGAACAACGACAGCAAGGGCAACGGCAACAACAACAGCCAGCCACAGCCGCAGCCAGAGCCAGAGCCAGAGCAACAACCGACCACAAGCAATAACGAACCTCACACCACAAACCGTAACGACTGTCACAGCCACTGCCATAGCGACGAGCCGTAACCACCACCACGATAACATCGAACGCACTCGCAACGGCAAAAGCAGTAGTACGTCAATGATCAGTAGCAACTGCCGCGACACATGTACTGAAAGAGAATGCTGAAATCATCGAGCCAGAACCGTTTCCAGCAGCAAAGATGAGTTAGGTGATGAGAGTCAGCATGCCGAGATTGTGATGTGTACTCCAACAGCCATGTTAATAATCAGGGTCATGACTAAAATGATGAATGATGATGCCCATTGCTGGTGATGTTTCCGTGCT